GGATCCCAGCCGAGAGCTTGGGCGGTGGGGAAGGGGCCCTGGAGAGAGGGGCCAGGGTGGTGGGAGGGGCCCCGAGGATGGTCGCCTGCCAACAGTCCTGACCTCTGATTCCTGCTGCTTTGGGGGCTTGAGGGAAGTTGCTGCCACATTTCTCTTTCCGGGGGTCTGTACTTGCCTTTGAAGACCACGGGCCCAGGATGGAGATGCTCACGCCTTCCTCGGCGGGGTGGGGGGCACATCTGGGACTGCGGTGCCTGGAGTCCCTTTAGAGCCCTTGTCTCATCCGGGACGGGGAGCCCACGCTGTTGAGTGCAAGGGGCGCATCGGGGGAGGGCTGCCCACGCTTCTCCTTCAGGCTCTGGTCCAGGATCGGGGGGTGTCCCTACCCACACTCCCCGACCTGGGGCTTCGTCCGGGGTGGGGGGCCGCTGGGGAGCAGGCTGGGGCTGCCCTCACGGCCTCCCCTCCCGCACGGCGGCCAGAAAGTGGCCTACACGACGGTGCTGCAGGAATGGCTGCGCCTGGCCTGTCGCAGCGACGCCCACCCCGAGCTCGTGCGACGCCACCTGGTCACCTTCCGGGCCATGTCGGCGCGCCTGCTGGACTATGTGGTCAACATCGCCGACAGCAACGGCAACACGGCTCTGCACTACTCTGTGTCTCACGCCAACTTTCCCGTGGTGCGGCAGCTGCTTGACAGTGGTGAGCCGGGGGCGGGCGGGACAGGGGGCCCCGGGCGGGGGGGCCGGCTGCCCCCCCCAGTCTGGTGGTCCGACGGCGAAGACGCTGCCCTCTTCGTCTCCTGAGGAGCATGCCAGCCTCCCAGTCTGGTGAGAGGGAGGTACAGGTCCCACCCGAGGCCCCAGCGTACTGGAAAGGGCAGACATGGCCTTAGGGACAGCATGGACACCTTCCAGCCCCGCTCCAAGGCCCGAAGTCCCTCATCTGATGGGGCAGGATAGTGGAGGTGGAGACGCTGGGGCAGAATGGGGCTCTCAGCCTGAGAGAAGGGAGGAATCTGGCCCCTGATGGGGGAGATGCTGCCTGGTTCTCATGGGCGCTCCCCCAGTTTTGGGGTCTGAGGGTCCAGTGTCCACCCCCCTCCCAGGTGTGTGTCAGGTGGACAAGCAGAACCGTGCTGGCTACAGCCCCATCATGCTCACCGCCCTGGCTACCCTGAAGACCCAGGATGACATCGAGACCATCCTGCAGCTCTTCCGGCTCGGAAACGTCAATGCCAAAGCCAGCCAGGTACGGGCCGTCCGTGCTGCGGACCCAGGCAGCCCTTCCCACTGACTTAAGTCCTGGCTGTGCACCAAGCCCAGATGTGATCTTATTCCATGCCCCCGGGGGAGAATCCCCACTCCACAGACAAGGGAGCCGAGGCTCAGAGAAGCACCCATTTCCTCAAGGCCAGATTAGAGGAGGTGGGATTTGAACCCCCATGGTCTAGCTTTAGAACCCCATTATTTTTTTTTAAGATTCTATTTATTTACTTGACAGAGAGAGAGAGCGCAAATGAGCACAAGAAGGGGGAGTGGCAGAAGGAGAAGCAGGCTCCTCACTGAGCAGGGAGCCTGATGCGGGGCTCGATCCCAGGACCCTGAGATCATGACCCGAGCAGAAGGCAGACGCTTAACGACTGAGCCACCCAGGCGCCCCCCCCCACTGGCTTCTCTATTGATTTAGTTCTTCTTTAATTAAAAATAATTTCAGGGGCGCCTGGGTGGCTCAGACGGTTAAGCATCTGCCTTCGGCTCAGGTCATGATCCCAGGGTCCTGGGATCGAGCCCCACATCGGGCTCCCTGCTGGGCGGGGAGCCTGCTTCCCCCTTTCCCTCTGCCTGCTTCTTCCCCTGCTTGTACACTCTCTCTCTCTGTCAAAAATAAAGAAAATCTTTTAAGAAAATAAATAAAATAAATGTCTGCCTTCGGCCCAGGTCGTGATCCCAGGGTCCTGGGATTGAGTCCCGCATCAGGCTCCCTGTTCAGCGGGAAGTCTGCTTCTCCCTCTCCCTCTTCCCCTGCCCGTGCTCTCTCTTGCTCACTTTGTCTCAAAAAAATCAATAAAATCTTAAAAAACATTTATTTTCTAATAGCCCTTATTATTTATTTTTCCTGATTGTTAAAGTGTTACCTGCTTAAAGTTCAGAAGAAGGGAGCTGTGATATCCGTAACACAACCTTGCTTTTGTTAAAATACTAGTAAATCTTATCTAAATAGTGCTTCCAGCTCTCTTAACAAATGATCCTCGAGCACTGTTGATGTCCAGGTGCTGTTCTAAGCCCTTTCCCCCCATGTTGCTGTCTTCAGTCTGCACAACAACGCCATGATGGAGGAGATGCCATTCTCGTGAGGCACAGAGAGGTTAAGTGACTTACCTGAGGTCACACAGCTTGTTCATGGAAGAGTTGAGTCCCTACCATGATGGGGACTCTTGGCTGCGATCAAACCTTATTTCCAGATAACACTCAGTGTGGTGTTTGGGGGGGAGGGGGTCACAAGCCAGGATTGTAGTCACAGTGTCTTCTTCCCTGTCCCTGATCAGCTGCCAGCTCAGGCTGCTGGAATCAGATTCTGCTGCTCAGAGGGTGAGGGTAACCTCAGGCAACACTCTGTGCCTCAGTTTCCTTATCTGTAACAATCAGAATCTCATGGGCTGGGAAGATTTGACGAAGCAACGCAAGCCTCAGCCCTCCAAGCGCCTGGCCCGGGGTATGTGACCCACGTTGTTACGGTGAGCACCTCTCTTCCTGCCCCTGCAGGGCTCCCACAGGCTCTGGCAGAGTCATCCTCATCACCCCCAGGAGTGGCAGTGACCCATCTGGCACAGCCTGAGAAGAACGCGGGTGGAATGGGCGCCCGTGAGGCTGCTAACACGGAGCCCACCAGGCAAGCAGCCTCATGCAAGTCAGAGGAGGCGGGGAGTGCAGGTGAGTGAGGGTGGCCGCCGAGGGGGACGGGGCCCTGGAGGCCTGGGCATAGGGTCTGGCTTTGGGAGATTCTTACGACACCACCTGTCCCCCCAGCTGAGCCCCCAGCAGGCGTGCGGTCCATCATAAAGCGCAGAGAGGAGTCCGCAGACCCCGCGGCCCACCGGAGGAGCCTGCAGTTTGTGGGGGTCAATGGCGGGTGAGAGGAGCCCCCCACCCCACCCCACGCTCCCACCCTTTCCTCAGCTTCTACCCTCCTGATTGTTCCTTGGTTTGTTCATGTCCAAGAATGCACCCTGGCCTAGGCCCCTTACGTTGATTCACTCCTTTAAGCAAGGCGCAGTAGACAGTTGGGACACTGAGGCACTCCGGGGCCAGATGCCTTGCTGGAGCTCACACGGCGACTGGGAGTCGGCCCCGGTGGTCAGACTCCCAAGCCTGTGCTGTGCTGTTGGTCTGTGCTAGTCCTCAGAAGGTGCTGGGCTCGGCTTCCTACCTGGATGGAGCTCCCAGTCCAGTGGGGCCTCGGGCACTGGCGCGCAGTTCAGACCCAGTGTGGTTGGAGTGGTGATGGGGGATGGGGACACTCGGGCAGTGCAGGGTGCCGGGGGAGGCAATGATGTCCCCAGGGAAGACACTGAAGGAGGGGACGAGTGTGCTGCAGGATGAGCAGGAGACAGCAGAGTGAAGAGTGGGGGTTGGGAGGGCACTCCCGGTGCAAAGGCTCAGAGGTGGGAGGAGGAAGCAACACACGTGAGAAGCAAGAGCCATAAGGAGTAGGAGTGGTAGACAGGGATGGTCTGGGGACTTTGAATGCCGGGCCCAAAGCTTAGACTTTGTCCAGAGGCAGCAAGAAGCACAAGAGGAACCTGTTTGCAGTGCGGTGAGGGTCTGACGCAGTTAGACCTGCATAAGGGGCCAAGGGAGACGAGGTACTGAACAGTAGAGGGTGAGAGCAGTTATTTCTCCCCCCACCCACCCCAAGCACGATCGCAGTGCTAGCTAGTGTTTATTGAGCGCTTACTGTGTGCCAGGTGCTGTAAGGCACATCCCCACGGCCCTGTGAGGCTGATACTGCCATTATTCCCATTTAACAGATGGGGAAATCAAGGTGCAGAGAGGTCAAGCGGTCAGAGCCCATGTCCTGTCCCATCTGCTGCGTCTCCTCACTCCGCCCGTCCTTCCTTCCCAGGTACGAGTCCTCATCTGAGGACTCTAGCACAGCAGAGAACTTTTCAGACAACGAGAGCACGGAGAGTGAGACCCCAGAGCCAAAGGAGAAGGTTCCAAGTGTGGCCGAAGCCCCCCAGCTCAGGCCCTCGGGGACGGCGGTGGCCAAGAGTAGCCAGGAGGAGAGCCAGCTATCTCGGGAGTCTCAGCAGGCGCCCGTGGCAGAGGGCGCGTCAGGAGCGAATGCAGAGGAGGAGATCCGGTCAGTTTTCTGTGTGGGATGAACTCAGACGGGGTGAGGTGGGTGACCCCTGCCTCAGATCTCACCATTCACGCCCTCTGAGGGAACCTGCCATCAGTCGCGCACACCTTAGTCTGAATTAGCGAACCAGCACTTTCTCCTTCTGGCCATCCGAAGGTTTGCAGGCTTTGATAAAGGGCCTGATGAGGGCAGTTTGGGCTGTTGGGGTTAAAATTTAAGGGACAAGCAAAGTTTGTCCTTAAGCCACCCACTGTCTTTGGGACATACGCCACACCTACCTTCCCCCCCTGGTGAAAAATCTGCCCTCGGGCAACAATTTTCTATCCACTACTGCCCGCTTGGAATAAACTTTAGCCTGTATGTCCACTTTCTCTTGGGCTCTGTCTGCTCCCCATGTCTGGGGTCACCCGGGAGGCTGCGGCGAGTGCTCTGAAGATAAACTTCCCCCAGGGCGCCTGGGTGGCTCAGTCGTTAAGCATCTGCCTTCAGCTCAGGTCATGATCCTGGTGTCCTGGGATCGAGCCCCGCATCGGGCTCCCTGCTCGGCAGGAAGCCTGCTTCTCCGTCCTCCACTCCGCCTGCTTGTGTTCCCTCTCTCACTGTCTCTCTCTGTCAAATAAATAAAATCTTTAAAAAAAAAAGAAAAAAAGATAAACTTCCCCCTTATCTGCCCCTGGCAGGATGGAGCTAAGCCCCGACCTCATCTCAGCCTGCCTGGCCCTGGAAAAGTACCTGGACAACCCCAATGCCCTCACTGAGCGGGAGCTGGTACGATGGGGCCCTGGGCCTGGGGTCCCCTCCTTCTCTTCCACCCCCACCCCAGCTTCTCATCCACAGTGCCTCCCTGTGCCGGCTTTGAAGGGACTCTGGGATCCCAGCCGAGAGCTTGGGCGGTGGGGAAGGGGCCCTGGAGAGAGGGGCCAGGGTGGTGGGAGGGGCCCCGAGGATGGTCGCCTGCCAACAGTCCTGACCTCTGATTCCTGCTGCTTTGGGGGCTTGAGGGAAGTTGCTGCCACATTTCTCTTTCCGGGGGTCTGTACTTGCCTTTGAAGACCACGGGCCCAGGATGGAGATGCTCACGCCTTCCTCGGCGGGGTGGGGGGCACATCTGGGACTGCGGTGCCTGGAGTCCCTTTAGAGCCCTTGTCTCATCCGGGACGGGGAGCCCACGCTGTTGAGTGCAAGGGGCGCATCGGGGGAGGGCTGCCCACGCTTCTCCTTCAGGCTCTGGTCCAGGATCGGGGGGTGTCCCTACCCACACTCCCCGACCTGGGGCTTCGTCCGGGGTGGGGGGCCGCTGGGGAGCAGGCTGGGGCTGCCCTCACGGCCTCCCCTCCCGCACGGCGGCCAGAAAGTGGCCTACACGACGGTGCTGCAGGAATGGCTGCGCCTGGCCTGTCGCAGCGACGCCCACCCCGAGCTCGTGCGACGCCACCTGGTCACCTTCCGGGCCATGTCGGCGCGCCTGCTGGACTATGTGGTCAACATCGCCGACAGCAACGGCAACACGGCTCTGCACTACTCTGTGTCTCACGCCAACTTTCCCGTGGTGCGGCAGCTGCTTGACAGTGGTGAGCCGGGGGCGGGCGGGACAGGGGGCCCCGGGCGGGGGGGCCGGCTGCCCCCCCCAGTCTGGTGGTCCGACGGCGAAGACGCTGCCCTCTTCGTCTCCTGAGGAGCATGCCAGCCTCCCAGTCTGGTGAGAGGGAGGTACAGGTCCCACCCGAGGCCCCAGCGTACTGGAAAGGGCAGACATGGCCTTAGGGACAGCATGGACACCTTCCAGCCCCGCTCCAAGGCCCGAAGTCCCTCATCTGATGGGGCAGGATAGTGGAGGTGGAGACGCTGGGGCAGAATGGGGCTCTCAGCCTGAGAGAAGGGAGGAATCTGGCCCCTGATGGGGGAGATGCTGCCTGGTTCTCATGGGCGCTCCCCCAGTTTTGGGGTCTGAGGGTCCAGTGTCCACCCCCCTCCCAGGTGTGTGTCAGGTGGACAAGCAGAACCGTGCTGGCTACAGCCCCATCATGCTCACCGCCCTGGCTACCCTGAAGACCCAGGATGACATCGAGACCATCCTGCAGCTCTTCCGGCTCGGAAACGTCAATGCCAAAGCCAGCCAGGTACGGGCCGTCCGTGCTGCGGACCCAGGCAGCCCTTCCCACTGACTTAAGTCCTGGCTGTGCACCAAGCCCAGATGTGATCTTATTCCATGCCCCCGGGGGAGAATCCCCACTCCACAGACAAGGGAGCCGAGGCTCAGAGAAGCACCCATTTCCTCAAGGCCAGATTAGAGGAGGTGGGATTTGAACCCCCATGGTCTAGCTTTAGAACCCCATTATTTTTTTTTAAGATTCTATTTATTTACTTGACAGAGAGAGAGAGCGCAAATGAGCACAAGAAGGGGGAGTGGCAGAAGGAGAAGCAGGCTCCTCACTGAGCAGGGAGCCTGATGCGGGGCTCGATCCCAGGACCCTGAGATCATGACCCGAGCAGAAGGCAGACGCTTAACGACTGAGCCACCCAGGC